CCGAAAGTAGCTGTAATCATGCAGAATGTTACAGGAACAAAGAACTTCAAAGGCTAATTTCCTACCATTGTACACACTAATTAGGTTAACCTGGCCTCTGATCTTTGGCATTAATTCAGGTTGGATGCCTGCCAGATACTGCATCCAAGCAACCTTGAACTTTCCGTGTGTGTGTGTGTGTGTGTGTGTGTGTGTGTGTGTGTGTTTTACATGCCTTTACAATCAGAACCAAAGCAAAGCAAGCGTCTTGTGGCAACTTAAAAACTAACAGATTGTGACAGCAGCTCCACTTTATTGGCTTGTGTGAGGGAGACACACACGCACCCAACAAAGTAGCTTCTGCTCCTTAAATGCCCCACCACAGATAATCTTTAAGGTGCCTCAGGACTGTGCGTGTGGGTGTGTGTCTTCATACAGTAAAGACCTGGTATGCACACGTTTAAAGAAATCACGGTTTCTTAGCCATGGGTTGCTCTGGAGCATGTGGGAGCGAGCCAGCTGCCTTTGGCTCGCTCACCCACGCCTGCTTTGCGGAACAACTCGGCAGCAACCCGTTCCTGGGCTGCTCTCTATGATGTTCGAACCCATCACAGCCCTGGGTTGTTGGGGGAGAAACCACCCAGCTTTTTAACCCATCGCTACCCCTCTGAAATGGAAAGAAACGACAGGCTCTTCTTAAGAAGCTCAGAAAGGATGGAGGAAGGCCCCCAGAAGCCCCCACACGAGCCTTCCTCCTCCCAGAGATGAAAAGCACTCAGAGGTGACGCAGGCTGGCAGCAAAAATAACGAACAAGCATTAAATGGGGGGGCCAACATGGGTCTGGAAAGACAAGCAGCCCTCCTTGGTGCATTCAGAACCGGCTGGGGGTCCTCTGGGGACAGAGAAGAGGATTCCCAGCAGCTCTAGTGGAGACCTGGCCGGGGAAAGCCCGCTTGCTTTCTCTGCTGCTCGTGGTGCTTGTGCCTGAACAGCAGACGTGGGGCTCGGCGGTGCGGGGGGCACAGCTGGCCCTGCCCAGCCGAGCTCTGTCCCACGTCCCCCCCTCCGGAACAAGCCATCCTTCCAGCTTGAGGCTGGGCCAGCCGCTCTGGAAGGGCTGCCCATCAACAGGCAGGGGGCCAAAGGCTCCCCGAGGTTCTGCCCCTGCTCGCCTCCTGCCTGTCTACGGAGCAGCCTGGGGCAGGGGCAGGACGAGGGACGCAGGTGGGGGGGGGGCACAGATTTGGCACTTCAGCACAAGGTAAAGGGCACCAGCTTGATCCGAACTGCAGTGACCATCGCAGTGGAAAGCAGCTGCGGGGCCTCCTCCGCCCCTTTCCCCTGATTGCTTGAGTTAATTTCCCACAGCAATTCTTTTATTACTCAGAGCCCACGTCCAGCCAGGCCATCCAAGACCTTTCTCTTTCCGCTTTGGTGGACTGCTGGTCTCTGCAGCTCGTTTTCACAGCTTCTCCCCCACCCACTCCCCAGGAGTGTAACAAAATTAAGCAGTTCTTTTCCGTATCAATATAATAAAAGCAGTTGTGTTTATATACATAAAATACATTACATTTTAACTGAATGCAAATCACATGCTAACTGACAACAAGAAACCTGGACCACTTTGCTGTACCATCGTCAACAGGATTAGCTATGGAATTTCGCGGACTGAAAGCCACCATTAAAATGGGCTTATGCGGGCTTCCATCCTACCTGCATTCCCTCCCTCCTTGAAGTCACCTGTACAGGTGGAAGTATTAGTTTCAAAAGTGAACATGTTTAATATCTGAGAGATATGCATTTTTTAAAAAGCAAGAGTTCCTACTTCCAGAATCTAGGGAAATAGGACACAGTTGGACGGGCGAAGAAATTATGTTGACAGTCTTGGATTGGTGTGATCTCAGTGTAAAGCCAGTGTGGCACAGCGGCACGGGGACAAAGCGATGACCTGAATCGGCCATCTTCCCTTAGCTGAGCCTGCCTTTCTAAGAGACAGTTGTGAGGATAACATGGGAAGGGGAGAAAACTTTGCACACTGCCCTGAGCTCCTTGGAGAGGCAGACGGGATAAAAACATAATAAAATATATGTGTTTCATTGATCTCTCACCTTTCCTTCATGGAAATCAAGGCGGTACACAACGACCCAGGTAGGTAGGCGAGCCTGAGGGAGCGCCATGGCCCAAGACCACCCCCCACCCTGAGCTTCATGGCAAAGTGGAGATTTGAACCTGGTCCCCCCAGCCCTAACCTGATATCCTAATCCAGGGCTGCTGAACCCTTTTCAGCCTATTTTGGACATGTGTTTAAGGAATGCGTTCCAGTGGAGGCCAGGCCCAAAACACAAGATATACCAAGAAATTTTAGTTTAGAGTGATTACAGTCGGTAACTAATTCTTAGGAGAAGTGATTCAGCCCTTTAGAATGAGAAGAAGCAATGCTTCAAAGCTGGAAAACCTCCGGATGAAGTGTGGTTGTGGGGAGGGTTGTGGGGCCAGGGGAAGGAGGGAGCCCTAGACAGCCTAGATGAGACTGCAGGAAAGCGTGCTTTGGCCCTGAGCTTCTGCATCGCTGCCCTGACCACTAGACCACACTGCCTCTTCACACAGTCCAGGCACCTCCTGCAAATACGTTCTCTTGGCAAGGCCTTTCAGAGGGCGAGCTGTTTCAAATCCAGACCCTAAACTCCAAATACACTTCTGCCGGAAGAGCGAAAGAGGTCTTAAAACAAGCCTTAAAACAAAGGAAGAGCCAATAATGACACTAGGAAATACAGCTCCTTTGCTCCTCTGCATAACCCAAGCAGCAGCTGCTTTGGGAAAAACACGAAAGCCGGCACTGGCGCAAATCTGGCCAAGGGGACGTGCCCCCAAGCCCCTCAAGAAGGCTAGTGGGTCGACACTTGCATTCAACCTCTTTAAGTTGTGCATTTGCAACACACCGCTATGAAAATCTGGTGCAAAGTCCATGATGCGTGGGAGGGCAGATGACGGTGGGGAAAGCGTAGCAGACAAGCGTCCCCAGAGCCTTCCGAGGAGCAGTCATCCAAGGTGGCACAAGCTCCACATTCCTTTGGCGGAGGAAAGGGCTGGGTGGAAAAGATTCCCATGGTCCACCTTGCCCGAACGGTTGCAGTATTCTGCCTCCCACACTCCGGGGGCGTGTGCATCTGTCTATCCATCGCTAGGTTCCTGCTGACCTGGGCAGCTCTAACGCACTTTGAGTTTAACATGACAGTTTAAAAAATTCTGTCCCGCCTGCTCCACGTACACCCGGGAGAGGACGTTCTGGAGCGTTGGCAGATCATCAGCCAGCCTCTGAAACATCTGGATAATTAAGGAAAGATGCGCCTTGAACGAGCAACTTGCTGTTTAAGCTTATGGCACTGTGGTCGCTGCAGCCCAGTAAAAGGGAGTCCATGGCTCAAGGCATTTCGAGGAAACCCGGATTGCTATGCATGTCCAGTGGCCAACGCAACCACAAATGTGCAAATGAGACTGGAAATTCACACTTTTTTTCCTTTTAAACAAGATAGAAAACAAGCTGCAAAAAAAAAAAAAATCAAAATAAAACTAATGCCAACAAGAATAAACAAACATGTCCAACGTGAGACAGGATTTCCTCCTTTGGATGAAGTTACGAAATTTTGACTATTCCCCACTTTCTTCAGGCTCTTAAGTTCTTCCAATCATCGGTTCTGAAATCATACTGGCTTAAAAATCAAACAAAAAGGACAGAAGGATTTTTTTTTTTGAAAGAGGCAGCTGCATCCAAACACAAGGAAAATCCAAAACCAATCCACACCACTGTTCCAAGAGTTGATCGTTTGCCCCCACCCTCCAGACGACGGGAAAAGTGCATGGGAGATTCGAAATTAAGTGCCATATGACTGTTTGCGGAGGTGGGGCAGATGCAGATGGAAACCGGGTTTTCCAAAAATGGACAGGAGAAAGCTTCACACGATCTTTTTAATGCTGTGGCGCTTGAAGCTGCCGGTGCTGCGCTGCTTCTGCACTTGGCTGGCGGAGCCGTGGCGAGTCCGCCCACTGTTGGAGTGTGCCGTGGTCGGGGAGAGCTCCACGTTCTCTTTATCAATGCCTTCAAAAAAGAAAGACAGAAAAGGAGAACCCCCGGGAGGGCAGGTTAATGCTAGCGCCTCGGTGGTACCAGGTGACTCTCTGGGCAAGGGCTACGTTGCAGGACAGTCCCTGCCCGCACTTAAGATCAAAGAAACATTTCAGGAAGGGGGTGGGGTGAGGAAGGAGCTGTACTTTTTGGGCCAAGGGGTGGATGGATGGACGGACGGACGGACGGACAGACGGAAGGGACGAGCAAGCTGCAGTTGAAGCCGGAAGCAGTGATAAAAGTTGGAATTAAAATGTGAAAGAAGTTTCCAGCGATGCCTGAGCCCTGGATGTTGGGGGGGGGGGGTGCTTTGTGTGGGCCCTATGGACCATCTCCAGTTATTGGGCTCTACAGCCCCACTCACTAAAGCCAAAAGGAATGCATTCGATTCTTTCCCAAATTTCGGAAAAGTACAGCCCGTTTTGGAAGGCATAACCAGCTGCCGAAGGGCCGGTCCCTTCTTGCAATCTCACAGCCCTGCAGTACCCGGGCGCTCCTGCCTCTCCGCTCTTCCCCCACCCCTCGTCTTTTGCTCTCCCCATTCAAGGCTTCCTTTGCCTTGTCTTTTCTGGAGCACTTCTTTCCAAGCTCTTTATATCACACGGCTGGCTGTCTTCCTTGCTGACTCAGTGTCCTCTGAGTATTTTGAACTTGAACTTCCATCAACTCCAGGCAGCATGCCCAATGGGAACTGTAGTCCGGGTATCTGGAGGGCTCCGAGTTGGGGAAGACTGGTCTAGGATCTGGGCAGCTTGGCCAATGCATCCTTCCCCTGTCCTTCTATGCGGCACTGGGCAGCTCTCACCAACATCTATGCGTCAGCGAGACAGCTTTCTTCTTCTCCCATTGCCTGGTGCTAACCTTCATGGAAACGCCAAAGGCAACGGGGGGGGGGGGGATAATTTTATTCAAAAGTGTTTACTGTTCCTAGCATGTCAGCACCGCATAAAGGTCCTTCTGTAATGCTCTAAGGTTTAAACATGTCCATTCGTTATGGACAGAGATTCATAGATCCAACATGCCTAAAATGATGCCATTATTTTTATATACAAAATTAAAAATCTGATAAAAAGGAGGGCTTGACATTCCAAAAACCTCTCTGCTCCCCATATGACCTGCCCGTTTAGCCTTAAAATCAATTTGGGTTCTTTCTCCCCAGGATTGCTATCCATCTGTTTGTAACTTTTTTCTTTTGCCTAGAAAGGAAGAAATTACTCTATGGAATTTACCTTCCTGATGCTGGAGCAAAAAAAAAAAAAAAAAGGGTTTCCACATGTTGATGCTATAGGTATGTTCTATTCTGATTGTAAGATTTCTTGGAGTTTTACCTTAAACAGTTTGTGGCAAGGACAAAGTAGAGTATATATAGTGCAAATATACTGTTGTATGTTGGAAAATCTATGGACGAATAATGCTTCCTGACAGCATGATTTACAAATGCCTGCAACATGTAATATATGCACATGGAGGTCTTGATCCTGGCAAGAGGATTCGAGTGGCTTTTCAAAAATCAATTGCATCGCTTCTAACTAACCTATCTCCTATATTTCTGATTCTTTGATAAGCTATATATGATTTTGCATCCAGCACTATGGATGATTATCTTAAAGAAACACTGATACTGTTAAGGAGTAAACTACTCTATTATTCTATTATTGAACCGCTTTTGTGTAAAGAAGAGCTGCTTACAGAATCTCCCTTTTTCAAAGCTCTAAGTAACAACCTCTCTGGAGAGCCCTTTGGCGTACATTTGCAGATTTTCTTCTCTCACCTGAGTCAACTGTACAGGCTCTTTTCATTCGTATAAATGATCGATAAGGAATATATTCTCAAATGAGTTTCAGATATTGTCATATCTTACGCTGTGCTTTTCTGCATAAATCATGATTGACTAACCAACCACCATCCTCCCCTTTCCAGGCAGATTTTTTTTTTAAACAAATTATATCCTTACAGCCCTCAATCACCTCCAATGTGACATTCCAAGTTTTTCGATTTACTTGAAAAAGGGGTTATGTAATATATAGTGATATCATAATACCCAATGTATAAGAACACTGACATACAGATATTACTAGTTCCAGTATTTACCTACTTCTGAAGCTCAATCGACTCCTTCCTATTTCCTGCCAGATCAAATGTCTTGTCATCTATATATCTGCACCGACAATAGATAAAAGTTGCTGAAAGGAATGGCATAATATACCTGCAGATCTGTATGAACAGTTAAATATATATTATTTTTTATACAGTTTATAAGGAGATCGTTTTTGGAATTTGAGCCCTCCTTTTTCTATTAAATTTTTAGTTCTGTTTGTACAAATAGTATTGTTTTAGGCATGTGGGATATATAGACATATTTAAATTGTGCATGTGTAGATCTTAATAAAAGGCCATTATGTCATCCGAAAGGCATTGGAAGAGTAAATGTCTTTAGAATCAATTTTTGTCTACTGCACTGCTCTTTGGTGCCTTTGCTGGGGCTCTCGTCTTGTTGGTTTTTCTTAATAGGACAGAGCGAAGCGGGGGAGGCAGGAGGTCCAGGCCTTGGTAATGGTGGACAGGAAGGCTACTTTGCTCAAGTATCCAACGATGGTCCTGTCTGAATCAGGAATGTACTCCTTCCTCATTCAGGCTTCTTAGCCACGGAGAGCTGGTGGGTGAATTAATCTGTCCCTACAGCCTGGCCTGCTTGCCTCGCTCGTGCCTGTCCTCTGCATCCTTTTGTGAAATCATTCTCCAACTAGGGCAGGGTGCCCACCTCTCCCTCTGGATGGGGCAAAAGTGTGACATAGGCACAATCCGGGGTTCGAATCGGGCTGCTCTGAGCTACTCAGGCCCCCCGGTCCTACATTTCTTGCCCTGCCCATATTCCATAGATGCTGCAAGGCCACCTGCAATGCCTCCCGGCGAGCGGCTAGATATTTCCGGGGAAGCAGATGAGCTTTGCTTTGCTTGGCTTGGCTTCTCCTTGGCTTTAACCGGATGTCTCCTAAGCCCCACAGAGTAAACCGATCACATCCAGACTCGCAATCTGCAGGGGAGGGAGGACGCGACGGCAAGCAGTGAATCAACGCACGTGCATGCACGCCAAATGCTTCAACCAGAGGCGGCAAGTGCTTCTTCAACCTTGCCGCATTGTTCTCGAACACAGGCCTTTCTCCTCCTTTGCAAATAATAATCATTCATAATAATCACCATCGTCATCCATCATCCTGATCAATGCACAGCAACGGGCAAGTCTGAGAGCGCCTCTCATTAAACTCACACAGGGTCGTGGCATCAAACAGTTCAAAATAAGAGTTTAAAATCTGGCTATTGAGCGCCCAAAGGGACAAAGCTGGCTTGTTTCAGAGCACGACAGGGGTCAAAGTGGCTACTCCAGGTGCCAGTTCGGTTAGCTTTTTAGTTTTCATTTTAACCAACAGTTTGGGACAAGTGCCACCCCTAAGTGCATGGCAGTTCCAGAATTTACACAGATGCAGGTCTGTACCATAGTCCTTGTAGGACGATGCCACCTGTACGGTAATAAACCATGTCCCCTAATTTCAACCATTAATTTGCAGTTTTCTTTCTGTCAACAAAAAAAGCATCCAACATGTAGAACATGCCAAGACATTTGTTGATTTCTGCCACTGGTTTTTTTTTTTTTTTTGCTCCCAGCCGCCATAAAGTATTGAGATGAAAAGAGAGTTACATGGGATTTTTCAAACAAAAACTAGACACAGCGAAGCAAAGCTTTAAGTGTCCGTTTTCTGATACCAAACATAAACTTGTTTGAGGACATTCTACTTTCCTAAGATAATGGCTGTTTGGCTTTCTGTAACACGTTAAGGTCATCATTATTTTATATTGTGTTTACATCCTCTGTATTTTTACTGGAAACTCCTCAGAGGTCTTGGAAAATCAAGTGGGATCAAAAGGGAATAAAAAGCAAACAAAATGTCCCAAAAGACTTTGCATGACATTTCCTTGCAGTGCTGCATGACAGAAGCTGGAGGGGGGCACGATTCAGCTAATACTGGGGGCCAGGAGAAGGGGATCGTCAATTTCATTAAGGGCTCCCCATCTTTCGCCCTTAATGTCTGCCCACCAATTTCCTATCTCAGTTGTATGTGACCCCAAACACACAAAATTCTGGGTAAGTCGGGCGTCAAAGAGCCGAAGGTGAACTTGTAATTACTCATGCCAAGCTGAAATGGAAAGGAAACTGAACAGGGCAGATAGATGAAGATGGGTGTGGGGAGTACAAACACAGAAACACATGCCCAGGAATGGCAGTTTCCCCAGTTATCTGGATGCGTTTTCTTAGAGCTGGGTGCAAAATATTCACAGCAGAGGTGGGCAAAAGCGTGGAGCGGTTCGCAGTTCTGGCAAGAGTGCTTTGCTCCTTCCAGACTGCTAGATGGAGAAGAGGAAGGAAGAGGGAAAGTGTGTAGCTTTGCTCTTCATTTCCTGCTTTTAGATACTGCTCAATAGCCACACAGAGCTCCTGGGAAGCCTTACAGGAAGCCTTCGCTTGACGCCTTCTTTGGTTTGATAGAGGAGAGGACTGAGGATAGGCTTATGAATGGCTGTTGGGCACGAGGGTAGAAAGGAAGACCCACCTAGAGTGCTTTGGAGAGTGGCTGGGGTTTGCAGAGCAAGAGGAGAAGGCTGCAAGAGGAACAGGGAATACGTCCCCGTGGCATGCTTCCTTTTCCTCAGGCCCGCTGCCCAAGATCTCAAAGCGCAGCTGAACACACAGCTGAAATGTCTAGCGGACTCTCTGTGTGCCTAGCGCTTTACAAGATGGCAACTTTCCCCCATTTTCAAGATGCGGCAGTTTGCAGAAGGCCACTCAGCCAGCAGCTCCATAGCAGAAGCGGAGGTGCAATCCAGGTGCGGTGCTCTGCTGCCTCCCAACACTCCCAGCAGCAGAAGCGTTGCGCTCGCGCCATGGAAACACGGCCCGGCCCTTCTTTTCAGCCTCTCTTTTTGGACCCATGTGTGCAAAAATAAATAAATAAATAAATAAAATAAAATAAAATAAAAAACTCCACTTTTAAGAACAAACCCCCACTTTCCCTCTCCTGCCCTGAGCCCCCGCAGAACCAAGCAGCAGCTCGTGCAAGCATAATGGAAAGAGAGAGAAAGAGTGAGAGAGAGAGAAGGGCGTGTACCTGGATGAGGAAGTTGCATGAAAACGGCAGATTTAGAGCAAGGCAGAGAAGCTTCACAAACACAGAATGAAAGAGAAAATGTGAGTGATCAACATTCACGACCGGGAGAAAAGCAGAATACAGTTCCAGGACAGTGACGATGCGGCTCTCTCTGCCCACCTGGGCTTCTCATTGTCCCATCCCGTTCCCCCCACCCCGCCCGGCAACCCTCTTCTATGCATCCCGCAGCAGAGATCTGAGATTCAGGCGAGGACACACCCAGGTGATGAAAGGAGAGCCCCAGAACCAGGTGGCTGGTCTATCCAGGCGCTTTTCCAGGCACGAAAGAAATGCGCAAGTGTGGTGTGAATACATGGTTTGTCTGTCTTGTGCTCTAATTTCACACAATTCTCAAGGGTGACCTTGCATTGCTGCTGTTCATTTCAGCAGGACTTAGGCGTGAGATGTTCATACTGAGGTCTTTCATGTTTTTAAAAATTTAAGCTTGATGGGCAACTGTACTTCGGGGGTATTTTATTTATTTCATTTATTTAAAACATTTCTATCCCATCCTTTGCATAGCCTCGGGACAGCTTACAGCAATATCTGGCAACTGTCCACAAGGAAAGACCACAGCCCTGTGGCAGAGTCCCTGCTGAGCATGCAGCAGACCTCGGGTTCAAGCCCTGCAAGAAGGGCCAGGGAAACACCTGCCTGAAATCCTGAAAAGCCGTTTCTGCAGCTGCCAGTCTGTGCTGGCAAAACTGGGGTGGGTGGACCCAGGGACTGACTGCATATGAGGTGGCTTCCTGTGTCAGATTGATTGCTTTAATGAATACGGATTCTTGTGAAAATAAAAAAAATGGCTTTATTTGGCTTACTAAGCCAGGCCTGAGGAATGTTTCTGTGGAAAGGAGCAATGGATGTGTTTAAAATAAATCTCCTCCATACACGTGGGGCACGCCGCGCTCTGGGAAGGTGAACTACGCTGCAGCAATTAATCATTCGCACATCCATTGTGGAGCCTGCGTCCTGCCTGCCTGCGAGGCGGCTCATACAAAGCAACAGTAACAAAAGAGGGTCTCCCAGCTTAGGGCCGTTGGGTGTGACCAACTTCCTACCTTCCGTTCCCTGAGGAGACGATCCCGTGGGGGGGCCCTTTAGGCAAGGAGCCGGGTCTCTTTGCAGGAAACTGTCTGCACAAGGGACAGGCAAGGACTGCCAAGTTAAGTCCCCCTCTGGGAACGGAGTCCGTGAACCGATTCACCTCCTCAAGGGTGACTAGCGCACCATCAAGAAATGGTGGACGTTCCTCTTGCTCATGGTCCGGCCAGTGGAGCGCCCTGAAATATTCTGCTTGAGAAGCCACGCTGCATGTGACCAAAGCTCTCGTAAGAGGACCGAGCATCCCGGACGGCCCACTCAGTGGGAACAGGGAGGCGAGAGACTTGCTTGCTTCTTCTGATTTTGATGGGGCTGAGCAGGCGTCTGCAGAGCACTGCGTCGTTTATAAAGATACTCACTTCCAAGAAGATCAGGACACCTGTGTTCCTGTGACAGCCACCTGGAAGCTCAAGGAATGTTTGGGGATCCAGCATCCTTGAAGCATTTAGTCCATAAGGTTACGGGTGACAGAGCTAACTTACTGTCCCCTTTTCAACTATACAAGCTTTGCATGGCACAAGAGAAGCAGAAGTATATTCAAAGGGGTTAAGCCAGAAACACTGGCAAATCTATGTCTATGTTCTTAAAACCTTCATTGATAAATCAGCAAATGCTACATAGACCAAAATAAAACTTCGGCCTACACCAATCGTGGCTTTTGTGGAGCAGGAAAAACCAAAGCTCCATACAGTCCACTCCACACGACAGCGTAAAAAGCAGGTATGTAACACACTAGCTTTTTCTGTAACATGTGAAGCAGTCTAAACCTGCTGCCCTTCAAAGGCATTTGCTTACTCTTACATCATAGCCTGTAATGCTTCGTTCACTGGTACGTGCGATTACCATGGAAGGAAGCTCTTACTGCCAACATTTGGATTGCACTCCAATGAGGCAGGTATTTTGCTGCATTGTGAAGCTTTGCAGTGACTTTTATATGCCTCACGTTCACCAAATCCAACATTCCAGCCCTCCTGTGTGTCAACATACTAGCAAAACTACCATCACCTGCTGTTTAAAGGTTCAGCGGCCTGTTTTTTGGTCCCAGGCACGTCTAGATGGCAATGGGTCAACAAATTGTAAATTGGGAACCCCGATCACCTCCCCTTTGGGAATCTTGTCAAATCTTTAATCCTATCTGTGTGTACTTGGGACTGGGAGACACTGAAAATTGTGAGATTTCCTTCAAAGAATGAAAAAGAGGACAGTGTTACAAGGCTGGTGTATCCAGGCTGGCTTTTGGGTGATGTGCTAAGGAGCATCATCCTGAAACTTTGGCTTCAGACGTCCTCAGTCATCCCCGTTCCTTCCCTGCCCCAAGTTTCTAGCCTATTTTTGCAGCAGTGAGACAGAATTTGGTTGTGGGCTCAGGAAGTGGCGATTTCACTGGCTCACATTGATTTAAAGGGGAATTAGGTGAATTAGTGGAGGATAACAGGCATAACCAGCAGGTATAGATGAAGTTTGGCTATCATGTGGAAGGTGGTTCAGAGGCAGGATTGCCTTTGAATACTGAATGGGCAGGGAAAACAGCGGGAGAGACACTGCCTTTAGTCTTTGCTTATGGGCTTCCCCAAGGAGTCCAGACTGGCCATTGTGGGGAGCAGAGGAAACCTGATTCCTCACCTAGCAGGGTAGTTTTAAGAGTGGATTACATCCTTCACCTTTACACCTAAAAGAGTCAATGTGGCAAATGAGTTTTGTGACTAATGTTGGCTGTGTACTATGGCAAACCCAGGTTTGCCTTTGGATACTGTATTAATCGAGCCCAAGTTTAGTATAAAGCAGCCCTCCCCACCTTGTGCCTTCCAGACACATCTGGACTGCAACACCCAGAATTCCCAGTCAATGCCTCTGCTGGATGGGGATTCTGGGAGCTGCAGTCCAAGTGCCTCTGAAGGCCACCAGGTTGGGGAAGGCTGTTATAAAGAAGAAACAAGCCTGTAAAATAAAGATACACAGGGCAGGCAGTTCTGCCCCTCATGGCAAATTCTGCACAGAGGGAGCAGTTCCTGTACTGTCGTGGTAGTTGCTATTTTAACACTTGCTGAACAGACTCACGACGAGGCGGGGGGAAGACAGTGAAAGTGCCCGACCTGAACAGAGGGATGATGGCCCTCAGAGGAGTTTCAGTGGATGGCCCCCGCGGCAGGATCAATGGGAAAGCATGGCACACTGACCTGGGGAATGCTGGGAAGTTGCCAGGGAGGTCATGGAATTGGAGAGGTTCAGGTTCGCAGTAATACTAAGCTGACTCTGTACGGCAGGAGGGTACGGAGACGTGGGCGTCAACAGGGATTCCTCGCTGGCTTCCTCATCAATTCCAGGTAAATAGATGTCGATCAAGGCATCGAGGAACTTCACTATGAGCTCAGCATAATCCGGGATTTGGGTTTGCTAGAAAGCAGGAAAGGGATCAGTTCTACATTCATAGCCAGGGGTTCTCATTTTTTTTTTAAGTCCTTTCTTTACAAGTTTCGGTCATGGGGCTGCAGACTTACGACCAAATTCCCCCCTTAAGGAAGAGCAAACATGCAGACAGAACATCGTTACACATCACAAATCAAAAATAAACGAGTGGTTTCAAATGGATATCCCAGAATCACGCCAGCTGTTATTTCGGGAGACACGGCATTTTGCTTCATGGAGCATCAAGCATTCAGCTGTTGTTTGGTCCACTGAATCATGAAGACCAGACCATCCCTGGTGCAAATCTAGGGACTCTGATTAAGACCAGCACCCGCAGCCACAAGCAAGCAGCTTCGGACTCCTGGAGTGCTTGCTTTATCAAACCGTCCGCCCAGCTGCTTCTTGCTGTCAGCCAGGTCAGTGCCCCTGCCTCTGGTCACTGTGACCTCACGGCCAAATGGGTTGCTCACGGTCCTGCAGGGCTGCCCGGTCCCGCCTCACGGGGAAGATGAGCATAGCAAGCGGGGCTACTTCTTCCAATGCACAGCCTCCAGAAGTGATTGCATCACGGATCAGAACCGAAGGAGAGGCAGGACTGCAATGCTTGGCTGAAGTGCCAAGGCCAGCTGCCCCAGAGCAGGACGAGCATCCGTGGAGACCCGAGTAGCCTCCAGTTCTTTGGGAAATTAGTTGAGCAGACAGAGATAGGCAGGGGCAGACAAAACACCGTCAGCCCCATTGGATCATGTCAGGTGAAGAAGGCAGAGCGGCCGGGAAGCATCAAGCGTTCTCAGCAACTGGGCCCAAACTGGCAGGATGCACCCTAATCAGCTCCTTTTGTTTAGGGAGGTTGGGAAATGAACGCTGTATCATGCAGCCACATTTCTCTAGCAGCCAATATTAAAACCTCACTTGTGCTTTGGATTATTGATGTCTGTAATATTTTTTTCTATTGCCAAAGAACAAAAGAGTGCCCCAAACAACCTTCCTTTGCATTCATTTCTATACTGCCCAGGAGCCAAAGCTCTTTCTTATGTCAGGAACGAATGATTGAGAAGTGACTGGAGAGTTATTCGGGGATGGAAACAAAATTTTAAATGTTTTTAAAGAAGTTAAGCACCTCAAGCATGGCAGCTGTACTAAAAATAATTGTGGGTGCCCGGCTTATTAACTCCAATGAGATTTGCATGGTCACGCCTACCCAGGCAAGACCGAAAATTACACATTGAGAGGCCCAGAAACCCTCACCTTGGAAAAGGGTCCCGCAAACCTCCATAAGCCATTGAATCCGAAACCTGCAGCCAACAATAGCAGAAACAAAAAGAGGAAGATGAAGTTAAAATTCACACCAAGAAGATGGAGATAATTTAGAAGCATTTCCTCATGATCTGCACCCAAAGCCTGATTCAAACGCCCAAGCGGAGCACGTAAAGGCTGCAGCTTCCTGCGCTCAACGTTCATGTGTTGAGACGCTGACCTTTAAAACCACAGCGTCTTCGCGAAGCATCACGTGCCGACGGAAGTGCATCCTGGTCTGCTTGTCACCGCGTGCAAAATAATCCAGTGCAGAGAGATGCAGTCTGTGTGTGCAAATCAGTCCAAATGCAGGCCCTGCACCCACGGCTTTGTGATAACGAGAACTGCACAGGTGGCTAACCTCTTATGGTTCAGCCATTTATTATGAACACCAATTCCACTTCCCTTCTTCTTTCTAACGCTTAGAAATCGGCATTTGTGATCATACATGATCAAACAGAACGGTTAGACACTCAGGGCAGTTTTAATAAAAATTAGTTAACATGCAATGATACAATAAAAAAACCATATAAGCACATGCTTTTCCACTAAGAAGGGGAAAGATGCGTTCAAAACAGGCATCAACACCCATCCGATGTGACCGTGGCGAGTGAAAAACTCACCTGTGGCCCATGAGGTCTGGCCTGTGAAAGGCTGGTTATGCTCTGTATACCCTTCCTCTTCCCCAGCCTGCCCCCCACTCTGTCCCGAGGAGAAGAAACCCTAGATTATCTCCAGTCGGACAACAAGGCAATTCCTCCGCCTTTAGCTGGAATCACGCAAGTTGCCTTTTTCACACAGGAAGAGGTACACGTCCCTCAGCGTGGAGGAAAAACAGACAAAAAGGGCAAGACTGGCTCTCAGGGAGCGGGGAGGTGGCACCACAGCCCATGTCTAGTTCATCTACCCCGGGGGCCAAGCTGTGTGTCCAAAGGGCGGAAGCTGTGACTCTCCAGATGTTGTATCCGAACTCCCACCATCTCTGGCCAGCGGTTGGGCTGATAGCAGCTAGAACCTGACAGCATCCGGATGGTTACAGATTCTCCACCAAACAGAATGAAGGGTCTGAGAAGCAAAGGGTGTGGAACAGCACTGCCCTTAGGAAGTACTTTCCCCGTATGGACTCCCCCAGGGTCATACGAAACTCTGCTTGGCCTCCTTCCTTTAATGACCCCAAGAAGAGCAGGGCCTTTTTGGAAGTGACGGCAGCACTGTGGAATCACTTCCGTGCAATTTACCTAGGAAAAACAATAGTCTTGTGTGTGTGTGTCTTCACTTCTCCTTGTCTGGCAGCTGGTCATGCAGCCTGGATTCACCACTCCAGAAGCAAGGGGACAGGGAAAACTGCCACTGTACTTAGGGACAGGCTAACAGCAAAAATACCAACCCATGGAAGCCTCTGTTTGTTTTTAAAAGGGCAAACCACTCTGTGAAGCTTTCTGTTCAACATCCTCTGGAGAGTCGGGGGACATGTAGTTTAGAAGGAGGAATTTTTATGGGCTACGGTAAAAAGCTCGCAATTATTCTGCGTCAGAGCAAAGCTTTTTGTGGAAGCAAGTCAGATAGCGTACTTTGCAAATAAGATGTTTGGTAGTGGGGTGGAGATTCTTCATAGTAAACCACGCTCTGAACGATGCCATGAATCGGGTTCAGTAAATTTGGATCTTGACACTGTGATAACAAGGTATTTATCTTGAAGTCCAACAGATTGTGCCTGCAAAACAGAACACATCCCAGTTATTAGTCCACAGCTTGTGAACTAATAAAACTTATTTAGCCAAGACACCTGTTATATGGATTACACTTAAGCACTTTACATACAGACTGGTGTTCAACAAGTGCCTCCTTTCCCCCAGGAATTGCATACTTAAGGTGGCAGGAAATTCTCAGCATTTTACTGAACTATAGTTCTCAGGATCCTTTGCGCAGGAAAGCCATGAACTAAACCCAAGTCAAACAGACAAAGAACTCTGGCAGCAGTCTCAGCGATAAGAGGAATGGTGGAAAGAACAATTGCCAGCTACTTTCCTGTTTGCGGTGGTTCCGACGGCACTGAAACCTGAAATCATCCCATCACCTAGGAAAGCCCAATCTGAATCACTCCTCTGGCACCATATAATCTTAAATGTCTAGGCAGATATGCTTCCTACAACATTTAATCCCACTCCTACTCCACCCCCCAGCAGCACAAACCTGTTTTTTGCAACATGTTGCCTGGAGATCTTGAAAGCTTGTGCATGTTTTCTTTTCTTTGAGTTGGCCTATTAAAAGGGACTCTACTGCCAAGGCAAACATGTCCTTCTCCAGTTATCTGTAACTGCAGCAGTTGTACAACTATTCTCCTGGACTTAGAAAGCGTGAGTTAAGCTCTGAATCCATAAAGTTCCAGACTTAGGGGAAGATGCCCAGAGCTGCAATGCCAGGGCAAGAGAATCCATTCAAAGGAGAACAGAGCCGTGACATTCTCTACCTTTCCCCCTTCCTGCATAGGTCCTCTTTTTCGTCACCACACCTGTCCTTTTTGTGGGGGGTGGGGGGGAGAATGAAACAGCAGCCACCTTTTATTGAGGTCAAAGCCAGCAGAAGGCTGAGAAAACAAGCTGGTCAAACTGGGCCCATGAGACACCGTGGGAGACCAAAAACAAGCATGGATGAAAACCTCTGGAGAATGCTGGTATCGGGGAGTGGATTTGCAGTGAGAAGGGGGTACAGATGAGAGACTGGCTTGCACTCCTACCAAAATGGATCCAAATCCTTGGCCAAGGCAGTCCGGCATCAAGGGAAGAGAGAACAGAGTAGGCTCTTGAGGAAGCCAACGTCCATATACTTGCTGGGCCTCAACCAAAGGGGTAAGAACTTGTATACAGAGCGATGGGAACTCCTTCCCTGGTTCCACAAACACAGTCAGCTACCCTGATCCCACTCAGACAAGGAGAGTGAATACAATGAGAACATCAGTGTATACCAGTAACTGCAGTGCTGAAGCAATGAAAAGAAACCAGATGGATTCTTTGCAGTGGCCACAGGTTCCACACAAGGACAATGGGGGCCAGTTCTCTTGGTTAAAAGCTCATTTTTAAATGGATGCACTTCGGTACAACTGTTTGCAAATGTCTAGGCTAATGTGGTCAGGGTAATTTAAGATTAAATGGAGAGTTCAGCCTTCTTCCCTTTTTATTGCTAAGGGTTGCCTTACATATTATACAATCCAGAGCCCCAACCAAGATCCCAGTCGTACGGACTGAGGTGATACGCATGCTTCCAAAAAAGCGTATGCCATGTCCCAACTTTATATGTTTAGGTCCACATGCATGTCACACCTCTAGAATATTCCTAAATCTGTGTGCAGAGAGTCCCAAAGGCTGTACTTTACATGCATGCTCTTTATTAATTTTATTATTGTTTATTTATGTATTAGGTTTTTCGCCCTCCCCATTACCCCACAAGGCTCCTTGGGCAGGTTACGAGCACACACACACAATCAGGAAGGAACTTCGTGAAGAAAAGCTGAACACTTACACAACAGGAAAAACCTTTGGGAAAACAACACTGGCTTCTGCTAAATACTCGTACAGGATTCGCTGGTCAAATTCGTCTCCGGTATATTTTACTAGTGTGGCCTGCCAGAAAAAGGGGAGTGGGGAGAAAGAGGGAAAAGATCAGTCTCGAAGTCTGGGTGAATGCTTACATTTTACCCCCCAAACTTTGTTGCTAAAACATGATGCAGAAAAGGTGACATTAGTGAGTTCTCAGAAGCAAATACTAGAAAAGCCGTCTGTCTGTCTGTCTGTCTGTCTGTCTGTCTGTCTGTCTGTCTGTCTGCAAAAAGAACAAGGTGTCTTCCAGATGAAGAGATTTCTTGGGTCATCAGCTGATGAGCTGGGTTGTAGCCCATGACAGCATCTGCCACAATTAATCTGCTGGTCGTTAAGGAGCTGTAAGACTTTAAAATGGATGCCACCTTTCAGCAGAGCAGCTCTAGGAGTTCCCTGAAATGTACACATCTTCAGTGACATGGTCACTTTGGGGCACTGGAACACCCTTGACGAGATATCAAAAAATAATGTCATCTCAGCCAGGGGTGGGTAACTTGGGGCCCTTGCCATTGGCTATGCAGGCCGTGGCTGATGGGCACTGTAGAACAAAGCATTCAAGGGGCCACAAGCTGCCCATCCTGACCTAGGCAGCCACTTCCTGACCAGAGCATGGCTCAAGCCACTCCCCATGTTGGAGGTTCCATCACAGGCTTCCCTTCAGGTGCAGACATGTGGGGCAGACCTATCCCCTGCCCCGCTGTGAGCCTGAGAGGTATTATTCAGCGCCCCATCATGGCTCCCCATGCAGAAATGAGCCAGAAATGACTGGGCAGGGTACCATTCTCCTACTTGGACAGTCTGTTGCAGTCCTTTTTCAAACTGCTGAGGGCTGAGCTTAGACAGTGCCATTAACGGGATGACTTTGGAGAAGAGGCAGGCGGCAGCACAACAGGTGAGCAGCAAATCACCTTCCGTTTGATTCAGGAGTGGTCTGGCTGTGGTCCGAGAGCAGGACAAAAGCAGGGCAGACTTCAGATCTTCCTTGGCTGAAAGGAGCGCGCTCTCGCTCGCTCGCTCACTCTCGCTCTCTCTCTCTCACACACACAGAGTGTTGAACAGACTTTTGTACAGCTTTGTCCATGCCTGCTTGAGGAAAGCTGGCTGGAGCACGGGCCCTGCCTTGGGCGGCAACCAGCGACACTCAGTGTTTACAAGTCCAGACACCCTTTCTGCACTGGGGGTTGTGGGAGGCAGGAGAACAATGCTTGCTCACGATCCAGGCCAGGTCTCTATTCAGAACCAGGAAATGACACACGTCAGGGGCCTTACTAAAAAGCTGCAGGTGATCAGCGTGTCGAGCGCTTAACAGTGGGCACCGCCAGCCATGCCTCCCCCCCGATTCCCAGTTCACAGAACCAGTTTACCCTTCGCTGAGGGAGCCTAGGTCGTCATGAGGTGGGGCCTCTCTTCCTCCGATTTCGCCGAGGGGCGAAAGCGGAAGGGTTGCCCTGACCTGCCGAAGAGCTAGCTGCCGCTTTGCAAGGCCTGGCGCAGATGCCCCTCAGAGAGATGCCCAGACTGCTGCATGAGGGAAAGGGGTACGTACGAGGACAGTCAGCAAAAGGGCCTGGATTTTGGGGTCCGTGAGCACTTCTTCGTCCAGGAGGACGTTGGACTCAGACACAGACACTTTCCGGAGATGTGGATGCTGTTGCGGTGATATCCGTTGTGCTTCTGGAGGAAGGGAAGCAGCATATTTAGCAGGGAGAGTGAGAAAGACCAAGACCACAATTCACTGGTGCCACTGGAATGAACCCTCTTGGAGACTGAGGTTCTGAGCAAGGCTGACGGTCTGGATCACCAGGAAGATGGATGGGAGATCCAAATCCTAGTGCAGCCATGGAACAGCCAGGTAGCCCTGGGTAGATAATCACTGTGATGATGAAGTAGGAAATGCAGATTGGCTCGGAGCCCCAAACCCCCACCAAATAACTCCGATCCTTCATCTAGTCATACCATGTGCAACTAGAAGCCAGGTCAACAAGCTTAGAGATTCATACCCATTTCGTAATCATTTTCTGCTACTCTCCGCATTTTGGGAGGTGTGGTGATCCCTGATTCCATTTCTTGTCTCTTGGGTGCTTTTGTGTCTGATATCAAGTGGTCAAAACTCTTCCTTGTACCTTTCGAAACAAAAGCAGAATCAAAGGGTTGGGTGTGGATGTTTGTGAGGAAGTGAAACCGATAGATCTGCACGTACTTAAGATCTCCTCTGCATCCTGCCTGAGCGAAGACTGGGAATGCTTGTTTGTGGTCGAAAACTGGTATTTCTCCACCCAAACTGTACTAAGAAGGGACCTAAAGAGGGTTTCCCTTCTCCTGATGCAGGTCAGACAAGACTGTTCAAGAGCATGCGCATGTACAGAACCAAAGTCCAAATATAAATCAAAGGACCACAGTGAAATTATAGTACCCCCCTCTCTCCAACCCTGCCCCCCAGGAGTCACCCCCAAGAAACCCTGGGACAGGTCCGCCCATCTGCCTTCCTCACTGCTGGCCAGCCGGAGCCCTTTCGGTGCCTGTCTCTGCCTCCAAGGGGGGCGAGGCTTTCCCACTCACCTAGCAGCTTTTTAGTGTTGGCTTGAGAAGGCTGCCCCATATCGAGACTCATGGACTTCCTGGTTCGCGGACTGATCTGCCCAACGGTGGGGTAACTGGCTGCAAGATGTCTGTTCGAGCCCTTGGGAGAAGACCATGGCTGGTTTTCTCTTAGTGTCCTGAAAGAGAGGAGAACCAGATGTTTCAGGAACAGCACGTTGCTTCTTACAACAAGAACAGAGCCAGAAGGGAGAAATGAATCCTCAACTTCCTCCCAAAGCAACCTCCTTGGGATATCCTTGGGACAGCCGTCCAGAGACCCGCAAGGTATTGGACGGGGTAAAAAATACCCAATAAATAAGTAAATAAATCCTGCACCATTCCTCTACACCCACACTCTCTTCTCCCAGAACCAGGATTTGGCTAAACCAGTGCTGCAACATGAGCGATGCTCCAGCCGGTCATCTCAAAAGGAGACATGAGACAGCGAGGCTCCTTCCACTGGGCTGGCTGGCATCGACTCGCATCTGACTGCTCCCCTGACCCCTGCCCTTCCATTCTGTATATTCATCTGAGCACTGTAGTATTTACTTCTCTCTCTCTCCCTGATCCTCCCTCACAAGGAAGCCAGGATGGTTCCTCATTGAAAACCCACAAAACAAAATACACAACAAACAAATGAACACCATTAAAATCTGAGCTCAAAATTTACCAATATGCAATAAAAATGCAATAAAACTGCCATGACAACTCCAGAAAACAGATTAAAGAGTGCCGAATAAGCGAGTATAAATGTGTGTGTCTTTAATCGTTGCCTGACAGACAACAGACTGGGAAAACGCCAAATCTCTGTTGGACAGGTAGCCTGACCATAATGGCTGTCTGGAAGGTGTCTGTTTTCTCATCCCTCCCTACATCTGTGCCATTTTTTGAAAGCTGTAGTCTGTCTCAGGACTGGGACAGAAAGGTGAGGAGTTCTGCACCCTTCCATACCTGTAACTGTTGTCCTTCAAGCGCTCACCCATGCACTCCCACACATGGGCTCCGTGTGCATGTGTGGAGCTGTTTTCAGAAGACTCCAGAACTACGTTTTTTCCCTACATCGCAGGAACCCCTGCCCTGGCCGTGGCCCAGAGTGAGTGAGGGGCTCCCACCTGCTCCTCCGTTTGATAGCTATGAGACTGCCGTCAGTGAGAACGGGCCCCTGAGCGGACAATGGCAGGTCAAAGTGTTGCTTTTTTAAAAATATGGATGAGGAAAATTGACAAGATTGGAGTACAAGAGATACTTTCGTGGGGCTAGAAGGACGATGAGAAAAATAATTGGAGGTCAGTGGATAGCTATGGAGGGGAGGAGGATTTTCCCAATGCACCCCGGGGGCGGGTGGGGTGGGGCTGAAGAAGCACTGAGGGTCAGGTGGGAGCCCCCCTCAGGCTGGGGCATGCCCAAGGGAGGTGCTCCCACTGGGGGAACATTCAGAAATGGAACCTCCCCCGATAGGCTTCATGCATGTGCACAGAGATCACAAAGAAGAACTTCTGGTTTCACCAAAACAAAAAACACCAAAGCAGCGGGCTTCTACGGCTGTTCGAGCTACAGCCCTGGGAGAGATGGCGTTACACGCCACAGGGCCACTGACCGGCAGGAGGCATCGCTGTGATGCACGGCAAAGGTCTCCATTGGGACATTTTCCATCGAAACGTCTGTCAGCAGGAGAGACTTCCTATGCTTTAAGCTGCACCGACTTCTGACCTCCTCAGACACCGTTAGCAATGCTGGAAGGGCAGAAAGAAGCACAGAGGAAATACGCCACCACAGAACCTCCCAAGCACAGCAGCGGGTGCATTTATTCCATACGTTTCTAGTCCTTAAGGCCCCAGAGAGAATCTTGAAAACGCACGGACAGAACTCAGGAGCTGGGATGACGGAGAAATGGGTCAAGCGAGTTCGCCAGTACGGAGAAAATGGGACTTGCGTGCCCTGGGCGGCACCTGGCCGCTCACCGTGACTGGCAGAAGCAAAAGCAGTTATGCCAAATGAATGCGGCGCAGCCATGCATGCCGATTTTCCACCGTTGCGACTGGCTGCCGGGTGGAGGGCCCCAGGGCATGGCCTGCAAACACACGATGCAGCAGCCTTCCAGACGCAGGGCAGACGGAGCTGGACCGGGCTGCTGCCGTAGACAGAAACGTAAAAATGAATACCAAGGTAAGGGTGAAGTCCAGCCTTCCTGATCCTGGGTGGAGGCTGCAGGGAGTTGCGGTCCAGCCCGTTGGAGGGCACCTGGGTCACGTCATTCAGCGGGAGGGCCAGGTGGCCAGGAGCCAGCAGCTCGACTCACCCTGCCTCGTTCTCAGCAACCCATGGCTTAACAAACGGTGGCTTCTTGTGACGTGTGAATCAGGACAGAGGCACCCTGGGCTTGGAGAGGCCCAGCTTCCACTGAGCCAGCTCCTCACAGGCAAACACTGGCGGAAGTTCCTCGGAGTGGCAACAGCCACGCAATTCACCTTTTCCACATTCTTCCAAGGAACTCTGGGCAATATGGATGGTTCTTTCCCTACCCATCCATCTCCTGTGCAGCCACCCTGCGAGGTAGGCTGAGAGGTACTCAAAGCTGCACAACCTTACACGTTCAGATCGAAAAAAGTCCTACAGTTCCCAGCATTCCCTGGCCAGGAAGGCTGGAGACTATAGAACTTTCTTCTGCTGAAACATTCACAGGATTGTGCCCCGAGTCAGGGCTACAAACAGGATTCGCAGGCACGGTAACTACTAACCCATACAGCTCTCTGCAGTGTGGAGTAATTAAGAACTAGGAGCATTATATTCCGCTCTGTTATCACAGAGCCCAGTTTGAAGACAAACCTCATAGATTTGGGATTTTTTACCTGCAAGGTAAGCCACACTCTGGGTATTCACCTCAAACTTGTCACAGTTCTTGTGTTTGTTAACCAGAGTGAGGAGGGTGTGCAAGATTCGGACTGTCCTTGCTACAATGGTAGGAGACGGATGCCGGTAACCTAATGAGAGAGAGAGAGGAAAGGTGTCATTCAGCACCTGGATGTCTCCGGAGGAAGAAAAGCATGCTTGGAAAAATCTTTCCAGAGAGGAGGAACATGTGACATATTTTGGAGCCTTTCATGAGAACGGAGCAGGGCACAGAAAACAGGGAGAAATAAACAATGAGCATCCACAGAAATGATGTCAGGAATTAGCGGGGTGCCCCTTCTGCCCCACATAATGGGGGTCTCCGTTGCCTGGGTCCGAGGTTACGAAAATGAGCCTGCCCAGCAGCCCCCCTACCTTTCAGCAGGTGTCCCACAAGTGCAAAATTGAAGTTGGAGTTGAAATTCAGTCCCACAAAGTGATCCATCTGCTTGCAGTGCCACTCCAGAGGCCTCCGGATTTCCATGAAGACTTCCTCAGGGCTCTGTCGGGAAACCAAAGGACAAGCACGGCGTTCGCCTGAGGGGGGATCTGGGCTGATCCGACTCCCGTTATTGCTTTGGCAGGAGCGCGGCACTCAATTCAATACATCCGCCAATGAACAGATCGAAACACTCTGGCTTAAAAACACGCTTCCATTGAACTGGGCGGCTTCTCTTTAGATTATGCACATGCAAGTGGCCAAAAGAGGCCCCACTTCACAACAGAAAGAGGAGAGAGAAGGCCTCTTCTACCAGGCTGGCTAGCCCACCGTCTCACGGACCCAAAAACACAGGCAGATGTCTTTTTTCCCATCAGGAGTACTATGTTTATGCTCAACTGGCTCTTCCAACCCTTGCATTCTGCACACTACAAATGATTCAGGCACCACCCAGCCAAGCTTGGAAGTCTAAGGGAAGATTCAGGGAGTGGAATTCAAGCTTGCCCTTTCAAGAGCAAGCTGCCTCCGTCTTCGGCGCATTTAATTTTAGCCTGCAGCACCGCTGGACAACTGTAACATGCAGAAGTTAGTCTTACAACAGGGTTCTTCTAATATTTCCCTTACAATCCTGCAGGGAAGAGCAAATACCTCTTTTCAGCATCTCGGAGGATTCCGTGCCGCTTTTTTTCTGGCTACTTAAGCTCTCGTTCAACAGGCAGTTCGGAGTATTCGTACCTGCTTTGATAACCCGTAAGAATAAATGAGGATTTCCAGCCAGGGGCTCACTTACCTTGTCATTGAAAACCCGCAGGTTGTCCAGGGTGTGGAGGTTCTGCTCAAGCAGAGCGGTGCCTGCCGAGTACAGATTGACTTCGTCCAGTTGCAGAACAGCTATGGCCACCCAGAAGAGGGCCTTGTGCATAGGTGAGTCCTAGGGTTGGGGAGGAACACACAGAGACTAGCACCCTTCTGACAGGAAAGATCCAAACCGGGAAATGACGCGCCATCCCCGATGCTGGATGCATTCAGCCCCTAAGTGGGCTGAACCACTGTGGGGGCCGCTAATTGGAATACTGCGACTTGAGTCCATTGGCACCTCCCCACACCAGAATCAGGGGATCTGGCCTGCCTGGGCTCCAGCCCATGGGGACCAGACCCCCAGCGGCCCCACCCCTTCCTGGTACCACCTTCCTTTCCCTCTGCCATCATCCTTCTGGTGGCCTCCCAGCTTCTGGGTAGATTTCTGTCCCTTCTCCCCATTCTAAGGCACCCTTCTAAGCCTGAGTTCCTGGCAGTGAGAGCTTTACACAAAAATATGCAAGAGCGTCTCTGAAACTGAATTCAGCCCTCAGGCTGAAAGCGATTGCCCATCTCTGATGTACATATTAACCCAGTACATCACATTGTGGCTTAATAAACTGGGATATGAACACACTTTTGGCCTACAAACATAATCTCTTCTCTCCCCCATTGGCAATTAAATCAGCAAGACTCTCATTCACCAGTTTCCCAGTTCGCCTGAACTAGGAACGCAGGGTTACCAGCTTCAGAACAAGACAGGATCTAACAGCACGTTCTGAAGTTGGTTCAAGATCCTGGCTTGCTCCAGCATCAGTAACCATAGTTTATTGGTTCAGCTGAGAGTCCTTTCATGGAACTCGCACTCCAAGCAGGTTTGGGCGATACCAAAGCCCAGAGACACGGTAACCAAGATTTTGCTGGCTGCTGCACTGAGCGGCTTGTTGCAGATACTAGCTTGTGTCTCTTGTTGGTGCTGAAGTTTTGTCCTTTGCTGTTTTTATGATTCGATTGGAGGTTTCTGGTGGGTGGGTGGATAAACTGTTCAGCTATTTTTGCCAAATTCTGTACTCAACAGACAAAATTTGGGTTTTTAGAAAGAAGGACTGAGGAGTGGGAATCAAGGGTCTGTGTGAGAGAGACACATGAAATGCTCAGTTGAATTTGAAAACTTTAAAGGGGTTCTGACAGCAGGAAAGAAACTTTTAAACAGCAAAGCATGGGCCTAAGAGATCGAAGGCACAATCCCAGGCATGTTAGGCAGGAAAACGGTCTTCCGACAAGAGGGCGAACTTCAGCTCCTGGGACTCATTGGGATGGTTTGCATACTCCCCCCTCCCCCCGGAATCCCCTTCTCTGTGTCCCAGGTGCCACATTATGCGTGCCTTTACCTTGTTGAGGAGGGGCTGCAGCTTGGTGAGGGCTATGACCGTGGCTTCTATTAAAACTTGGCTGTTGTAGTTGTCAGGGCCCTTCAAGCAGCTCTCCAGACCCTATTATGGATAAAGGGGAAAGTGCAGTCAGTAGGTACGGAGCGACCCATTCCTCCCATGTGCCGGACGGATGCCTGAGACAGAGATTCAGCCCTTCTTTTTGGTTTCTACCGTCTCTTCTGCTTCAGGCAATCGAAAATGAAAACTCTGGTTCCACATTGCCATTTCCAGATCAAGCTCTGAGGTCCAATGTCATCTTTGTCCTTCTTATTATTAATCAGCTTCTTTGCAGAGAGAAAATCTAGCTGCCATCCTCTGCCTCTTCCTTCGGCTTTTACCCATGGCACCATCTTCCCTGTTTGTGCAAACGATCCACTCCCAGGATGACAATTCTTTCCTCCTGAAGGCATAAATTCTGCCAACCCAAAGCTGAACTTACCACAGTCTCACCTGCTCTGAACTTGCTGGGTCAGTATGCTAACGCTGGAAGCTAAGACGCAACCAAGCCCCTCCAAACTGAAAAACACCATATGAGCAAGTTCATTAAAATATTTAGCACGTTAACAGTATTCACCATCTATGCTGAACAGCACAATCTAGGGTATGTTCAAAGATGTAAATAACTCTCCAACCAGTGGGACTTGATGCCAAACAAGTGTGAACAAGGTATATACTATGCCAGCTGACCAGCTTTCATACTATGCATGGACCACTGGGCCAAGGAGTTTTGATCTTAATCAACCCCTAACCCTTTTCTTGTCCCGGTCTCATTTGGACAAGGCATGTGGCTTCTTTGCTGTCTTGCTTTGGCTAGTCCTGATAAAAGATTGCAGAGGTTTAGTTACTTTGAAATGGGGACACACACACACACACACACACACACACCAGTGGTACCTGGATAACATGAACATTTTGACTCTCTCACAAGTAGGAAAATCGTAAGGTGTTTCCCAGTGTGTAAGTGTGCAGTTTAAGCATGACAGAGCATGTAAAAGGCAGGGTTTTGCTCTCTCTCTGGTGTATCCTTGATTTACCATCTACCTTTGTAAAAGCTCTTTGGTTCATAAAAATTATGTTTCCTCTGCTTTGGTCAGGAAGTGTGCGCTTGCAGTTCCTCACCCAAGACTGGAGGGAGGGAACTTTCTCTCCCCATGTGGCCTGCCGAGTTATTAGATCTGGACTTTAGAGGGAGGGAGCTACTGCATAAAGCGATTTCAAAATCTCCAGCTGGGTTGTAGCCAATTTGGGGGCCCTGAGCCGGCTGGACCTTCTCCTGGGCCTCCGGCCTGAGCGTTCGGATGAGTCACCCCTTTGACGGCTACAGCGATCCCCCTTCATTTTCCCAAAATGCAATTCAGGGAGCGTTCCAGGGGAAAATAGTGCTATCGCAAAGACCTGGCAGCAGGGGCGGGCCCTGCGTTTGCCCAGCAATGCCACACAGTGGCAGCAGGGCAGGAAACGCAACCGAGCATGAGGGACAGACAAGCGTCCTTAAGCAGGATGCTCCGACCGGTAGGAGCCCAGCACATGTGTTCTGCATGTTCACACTGGTGTGGTCACCACATCAGTCACTCATCCGCAGCAATGGCTCGGGGGAGAGGGGGAGAAAGGTGCTCCTCAGGCTCACGCCAGAGACAGGAGGCCTCCCCTTCCTCCGGGACCATTTCCATTCCACATGGTCTTTCTAAAAACCACCGCTACATTTGCTTTTATTTCCTCCACCCTCCTGATGACCTTTTCCCTACCGTGTCTTGCTTTTTTTCAGGATGCAAACCTACAAGCAGCAACTGCCTTGCTTTTTATAAGCAAGCTGCTGTGGCCATCTCTGTTGCTGAGAGATGAAAAGATACTTCAAAATAAACTAAACATGCAATTCCAGATAATAAAACGGTAATGGTAAATATTTCACAACTGGGGTGGAAAGTCTGCTTTTGCTTGCATCCAAGTGGGTGAAAACCTCAGTGAGGAGCAGGTTGCTTACCTGTAACTGATGTTCTTCGAGTGGCCATCTGTGCAGACACACATATGGGTTCTGCGCCAGCGCAGTGCCTTTGGCCAAAAGATTAACAGCTAACGGTTTTTAGTGGGAACTCCGCTCCCCCTCCCCACTAGCATTATATAAGGAGCGGAGTGTCCGCCATTTTCCAGTCTTTGAAAGACCGACGTTTGCTCCCTTAATAAAGTTATTGTCATTATGACAAGAAACCAAAACTTCAGTGGTACGACAAAACATCTAAAGAGATCCTAGCATCGAAGAGAAGGAAGTCGGACCACCCATGACACCAAGCGGGGTCGGAGGGTGGGTTGTGTGACTGCACAGATGGCCACTCGAAGAACATCAGTTACAGGGAAGCAACCTGCTCTTCTTCGTCGTGGCCTCTGTGCATCACATATATGGGTAGAATAACAAGCTTACCCAAACTGGAGGAGGGAGGTGTCATCAACGAAGAACAGAAGAAAGAACAGCCCTGCCAAAAGAGCAATCTTGTCTGGCACGGACATCAAGTCTATAGTGACTGGCAAAGGTACACGGGGTAGCCCAAGTGGCAGCTCTGCAGACGTCTTCTATCGGGACCCCCGATGCAAAGGCCGAAGAAGCAGCAACAGCCCTTGCAGAATGACCTCCTGGAGTAGATGGTAAGTCCAATTTAGCTAACTGGTAAGACAGAACAATTGTCTTCACTATCCATTTGGAAAGTCGTTGGGAAGTGACCGGGTAGCCTCGGTTGTGTTCTGAGTATTTCACAAAAAGTCTATTTGAGTGTCGAACAGACTCAGTCCTGGACCTATAAAAGGCTAAGCAATGACGAACATCCAGCATATGCAGAGATCTCTCTATCGAATTTGAAGGAGTTGGAAAGAAGGCTGGTAAAACAATCTCTTGCTGCATGTGAAATGAAGTAGTGGCTTGTGGAAGAAAGGACGGATCCAGCTGTAGAACTACCTTTTCCTTATGAAAATTCAGAAAAGGGGGGTCTACCCTAAGGGCACACAGCTCGGAAGATCTACGGGCTGAAGTAACTGCTACGAGGAAAGCAGTCTTCCATGAGACAAGGGTTCAATTGTCGCCACGGGTTCGAAAGCTGGCCGAGTCAGTGCTTGTAAAATTACTGAAAGACTCCAAGTGGGCATCAGGGGCCTTATTGTTGGTTGGAGGTTACCCAATCCTCTCAAAAATCTTTTAATCAAAGGTTGAGAAAAAATGGAGAAACCGCGTACAGTTCCACGGTAGTAAGAAATCGCCGCTGTATATACTTTTATGGAAGAAGGTTTCAGACTGATGCAATTCAAAGAGAAATTGAAGAATCTGTTGAATGGAAGCCGAGGATGCCAGAAATGAGTGAGATTCGGCAAAGCTGGAGAATCTACGCCATTTCGCTGCATACGATTTTCTAGTGGATGGTCTTAATGCAGATTCGAGAATGTATCACAGATCTGGGTGTAAGGTTTGTGAGGCAGAGGTAGTAGGGATTGCCGGTGGCATCGACACCGATGTAGCGCATACGGTCATCGGATCCTCCAGGCAGTCAGTTTCAGCGACAACAGGTCTGGGTGTCAGATCGTGCCCTCCCTCTGGGTAATGAGATAAGGAAGAAGAGGGAGTTGGAGAAAATCCTCCCGAGAGATGTGAAGGAGAGTTGAGAACCATGGCTGGCGTGGCCACCAGGGGGTAATTAGTATCCCCGTGGCCCCTTCGTGAATGATCTTTGCCAGCACTCTCATGATGAGGGGAATCGGTGGGAAAGCGTAAAAAGCCATGTCGTTCCAGGGGATCATGAAGGCGTCCCCGGACGACCCCTGTCCTATCCCCGCTCTGGAGCAATAGTTCGTGCACACCCTGTTCTGTTGTGTGGCAAACAGGTCTATGTCTGGCTGACCCCAGCGGTGAAACAGTCTGTCGCGAACCCGACGGTCTAGTTCCCATTCGTGTGACAGCGACATATGTCTACTCAAGAGATCTGCGTCTACATTGTCCGTGCCCACAGGATGTACTGCTAGAAGAGTGATATCTCTCGGTATGCACCAGTCCCAAATTTGCATGGACAGGCGGGCTAATTTCGGGGATCGGGTTCCCCTTTGTTTGTTCAAATAAAAGACCGCAGCCATGTTGTCTGAGGTCACCTGGACAACCTGGTGAAGAAGTACGTCCTCGAACGATTGCAGGGCTTTGAAAACAGCAAGAAGTTCCAGGAAGTTGATGTGGTTCCTGGAATCCCGGTGACTCCACACCCCTTGGGTACGTAGGTCAGAGCAAATGGCTCCCCATCCGAGAAGAGACGTGTCGGTACCGAGAGTCACTGTAGGGTACCGAGGTCGAAATGGGACACTGACATTTAAATTGGCTGGTTCTATCCACCATAACAGGGACTGAAGAACGGAGACCGGGAGCCGAATCCGTTTGGTAGGTGGATCTGTCTGTGGTCGGAATATCCCATTGAAGAACAGCTGGAGAGGGCATAGCCTGAGTTTTGCATGCGGAACCACGGCGATGGATGCAGACATGTGTCCCAATAGGCTCTGGATAGATCGGGCAGGGACAGTTCTTTCTTGTCGGATCCGAGAGATGCACCAAGCAATAGCATGCTGTCTGTCTTGCGGAAGAAAAGCTCTTGCCAATGTCGAATCCAGCCGGGCTCCGATAAAGTTGATCGTCTGTGTAGGGAGAAGAGAAGACTTTTGTTGATTAATACAGAGTCCAAGGACTTATAATAGAGCACAAGTAGTCTCAACAGCAGACGAAAGTCCTGCTTTTGTGTCGGAAACCAACAACCAATCATCGAGGTACGGGTATATCCGAATTCCACATAGACGAAGGTGTGCGCAGACAGGGGCCATACACTTCGTAAAAACTCTCGGTGCAGTGGCCAATCCAAACGGTAACACCTTGAATTCATAGATTTCAGAGTCTACCGCAAAACAAAGGAAGCGCCTATGACGTGGATGTATTGAAATATGAAAATAGGCATCCTTCAAATCCAGCGAAGCGAACCAATCCCCTCTTCCCAGCAACGGCAGTATATTTTGGAGCGTGGTCATCCAAAACTTCTTTGGTGTTATGAATCTATTGAGAGCTCTCAAGTGCAATATGGGTCGGAGACCCCCATCTCGTTTCGGGACCGTAAAATATCTGAAATAGAATCTGTGGAGTCCTTCCAATGATGATAAACGACAAACAGCTCCTTTAGTAAGGAGTTGATGAATCTTGTCCAACAGTACCGACGAGGTCGGTGTAAAACAGATAGGATTCGGTGATGGAACAACGTTGAATTCAAATCCATAGCCGTGCTGGATGATGGATAACACCCATCCATCAGATGTGATGGACTCCCAAGTGGGGAGCCGACTTTTCAGCCGGTCCCCAAATGAGAGAGGGGAGGGTGAAGTTGGGAGGAGAGGAGAGGCTCGCTCGTTGCATCAGTGCTGTCGCCTGTCCGTCTCAAAGCGGTGGCAGCCCTGCTGGAAGCACTGGGACGGTTGCTGTCTGCGGTGTTGCTGACATTGATGTGGTTGTTGTTGCCGAGGTTGAAATTGTTGGCGGTATTGCGGGTGTGACCATGACCACTTACGTCGAGGCAGGGATTGCAGTTCCATACGACGGGCCATCATTCTGGATTCATGCATCTTCTTCAGTTTGCTATCCGTCTTCACGTTGAAGAGACAGGATCCGTCGAATGGCATCTCCTCAATTCTCCGCTTCATCTCATCCGGAAAATTGCAATTACACAACCAGGCGTGTCTGCGGAGGGAAATGGCACCGACAAGCGACCTCAAATCAACATGGTGCCTCGCTGTGGAGAGCTGTTGCATCGCCACCTGCATAGCTTTCTTAACAAAGGTTTTTGCAAGTTTGCCCTGGTTTCCTGGGAAGGTGTCAACGATGGCATCTAGGCGTTGCATAAGAAAATATTGATAGCGCACCAGGGTTGCCTCATAATTGGAAATTCGTAATTCAAGGCCCAAAGCCACATATACCCGGCGGGCGAGGGAGTCAACTTTTCTTCCCTCTTTATCGCAAGGCAAGGTGTGTCCACGTGCTTCCCGGCCTTGAGAAGATTCCACAACAACCGAGTTTGGCTTGGGGTGACGGAGGAGGAACGGGATGTCTTCCTCCCAAACCCGATACATAGATTGGTATTTACGTGAAGTCGGTTGTGGGTGAGCCAGGAGGTCCCATGGCTGAGTCACTGCCTGCCATAGGGTCGTAATGAATGGCAAGGCAATAGATGTGGATCGATCGCCCCTGACCACATCCTAAAAACAGTCAGTGCTCGGTCCCGGTTGTCGGTGGGCTTCGACGTCCAGTGACCTCACCAGCCTGGCCATCAATTCATTGAAAGAGATGTACGGTTCTTCAGATGAACCCGGGCCCTGCAAAGTAACCGCTGCATCTGGCGAGGTTGAGTCAGCCTCAGACTCATCAGATTCCATCCAGAAGGGGGTGGTGCACTGGAAGAAGAATCTCCTGGCGATTCCGATCTGCCGCTTTCTCTAGATGGAGCCCTCGGGGCGTCTCTGGGCATTGAATGGAAACGATCCCGAGGAGCTGGCGGCGAGGATCGTCCCCTGGAAACCGGGTAATAGGCCACGGATTGGAAATCCTCCCGTCTCGGAGCGGAGGAGTATCTGGAATGGTACCAGTCATCGGATCTAGAATCCGAGGAATGACTCCTGCGGCTTCTCGGGGGAGAGATGGCGATGTCGGTACCCAGAGGGACAGGCGGCATTGGCGCTGGCGACCGAGCTCTCGGTGGAGAATCTCTTATTTCCCCATCTGAAATGGAGCCACGCCGTGGATCCAGGGGAGGTTCGGCTGCCGGTCAGTGTGGTGAGCCTGGCGGAGTAACCCTCATAGCCGCCTGGATGGTCGGGACCGAGGGGGACGGTTCCGTGGCTGGAGTCGGGATCGAGGAAGTTGCTGAACCCGAGTGGCGATGCTTTGCGTGCTCGGGATTCCTCGGCTTTTTAACCGGCTTGCCCGCCTTATCTTTTTTGGCCTTCTTATGCACAGGATGTTTGTCCGGATCACTGTGCTTTCTCTTCTCCTTTTGTTTCCTTGGAAGGGAAATGGGCTGATTGGCCATGGTAGGAGCACCTTCTTCAGAAGGGCGTGAGGGTGGAGCAATGGAGGAAGAGGCTGGGGCGGAGCCACAGTTGTGGGAGGCTTAGCCACCAGCCGGTCCGATTGGAGGAGAACCTGGTCCCACAAGAGCTTGCGGAGGCGGTTCTCCCGATTCTTCCTCGCTTGTTTGGAGAAGGCCAAACAGTGGCCGCATTTATCTGTCCTCTGCCCTTCCCCCAGACAAAGGAGGCACAGGTCATGCGGGTCCGCGGTGGGCATTTTGGAGCCGCACTTCCCGCCGCCCGTTGCACCATTGTAGAAATAGAAGAAAAAAGGAGATAGTAAAGCGGGAAATTAATATTTCTGGGGTTTTGTTTTGTTTTTTTTTAGGAACAAGAGAGAAAAAAATGTGAAAAGCAAAGAAGTAAGTGAAATACTAACAGGAATGAGGGAATACTAACTTGGTAAGAAAAAGGGAAGTTTTTCAACAAGCGAAAGGTAAGTAATGATCTAAGCGATAGCGAAGCGGCACGAGGCACAACAAACGGTGGTCGCAAAGACTGGAAAATGCTGGACACTCCACTCCTTATATAATGCTAGCGGGGAGGGGGAGCGGAGTTCCCACCAAAAAGCGTTAGCTGTTAATCTTCCGGCCAAAGGCACTGCGCAGGCGCAGAACCCGTATGTGTGATGCACAGAGGCCACGACAAAGAATCCGAGTTCCTTAACCTGAGAGAAGAACCCTGAGAAAACGAAAGTTAACAGAGGAACAAAGAGACATACACACCTTGCTAAGAATGCGGATTATTTGCTTTATCTGTCCATGTGACACTCGTTTGCTGATGCAACCAAAGACAACAAGGGCTCTTGGCTGCAGGGACGGGTTATACTGGAATGCAAACCTGTAGAGGGGGAAAAAGCCAGGCATTGTTAGGCAGGTGCCCAAGGGGCGGGGGGGATGCCACCAGCGCAACCAGCCGTGGCAGAAGAGAATGGGCAAATGCGACACCGTACAACCATGCCAACAGGGCAGGGCCACCTACTTTTGAGCGAGTTCCGTCCACTGGTCGAGCCACTTGCAAGTTGGAATATCTCTCATGCACGCCTGCCAGAAAGCACAAAAGCCACATAGTCTGAGCATGGAAGAGCAACATCAAAGCACTGCCCCGTTTAAGATGCGTCTCTTTTTGACCGGGGTTGTGGTTGCTATTTTCCCATTCCAGTAGCTTATACATGACCACTGAACCATCCTGGGGATTCCTGCTTTTTCGCTGCAGTAACCACTAGGCTTGGCCAAAGTTGCATGTCCAGCAGAGCTGCTTTCTGAGGTGCTGGTTAATTTCTTCTCTCTCCTCACCTGCCCCTCACAGGCACCTGGTTTTCACACAGAGTCCAAAGGGGAGGTCCAATCCGAGAGATCAGAACGGACTGTTCCACGGTGGAGAGGGAAACCTATTTTTAAATGTGCCACCATGTCAGTTCGACCCATACAAATCCTTGCTGGTAAAAATTGGCATGTCCCGGAGTGAGCTGACCTACAGCCTCTCTCCCTATTGTGCCTCTTGCTTTATTTTCAGGAAACTTTTTAGAACAATTAAAAAGGGGAAGCATTAAGAATAGGATCCCTCTTGTGAAGTGGTAAATCCAAACACAAAAATATTCAGCTGCATACCATGTGCTGACTAACAAAGACAGGGCATGCATCGTTAATATGACTATCTTACTTATTTCTCCCCCGTTCCTACCATAATGACATGACACACCGGTACCAAAATGGTCAGAGAATACATAAACGTGCCCAGCTGAAAAACATTAAATCAAATCTGCCCAGCTGAAAAACAAAAAGCTAAATCGTGGCACTCCCCCATCTTTTTGAGTTGGTGGCCACAGTTGGCATTTTAAGAGTGCTGCGGGCACACTCACAAAATGGCTGCCGGGGAGGGGCATACCCATTCCCAAAATGGCTGTCAGGGTGGGCATGATCAGTCTCTAAAGACTTGTATCCCAGACAGCAGATAAAAGAAAAATAATTTGACCAAGAGCCCAAGGATGAGGCAGAATCTGAGCCCTCCAACAGCAGAGCACTCGGGCACGGCCAGCCCCTCTCGCCTGCACTCCTTCAGCCGCCAGGATGCGCTTAATGCCCGGCTGACCATTTTCTTTTTTTCCCTGCAGCTGGCATGCTGCAGAACAATGGGTCGGGATGCAGCTCCCTGCCAGCTTTGCAGCATCGCCAGTCTCGTGGTTCATAAATTCTTTTACGAACAGCATTTACAAATAAAAAGTCAGGAGCAACAGGGAGCCTGGTAGGTACGTGAGGGAGCCCAGAAGGGAAGTGTTGACAGCGGGATCTGGCAGTCAGAACTCGCAGGCCAAGGTTTAGCTCAAGTACAGGCACACGTGTTCTGCGTATGTCTACCCTACCTCCATGATTTCCAGCAGAGCCTCCGTAACAGTCTCCAGGGATGTCAGAGCAAAGGTCTCCCTCTCATAGGACCCTGGAGAAAACGATCGGTCCCGATAGCTGGACCGGAAGGCGATGACAGCCGCCGACTTCACTTTGCTTATCCCAAAGAGCAAATAGAATTTGGGCAGCGAGAATTCCGTTAAACTCAGCCTCAAGACTTGCTTGGTCTCCTCTGTTAAAGCAAGAACAGGCAGAAACTTAGCTTCTCGTACTTCAAGGAAAGACAGGAGGACAAGTATACACATGGGAATGGTGTGTTCTGGGACCTGTTCCATAGCACGCAAAAGCCTCAGCAACAACCCCACATCGGGGAATTCAATTGCTTCTGGCAACTAACAGCCGTTCTCCTCTCGCTGAGCCACAAGGCCCCATATGTCTCTTTCCTCAGTTTTTCCATCCTGCTCACACCCCGCTGGCCCAGCCAGCTCCAAGCGACCAAGGACATCTCGCTCCAGGCCTCCTTTGCCAAGCAGTCCTGCTGGGACTCCTGGCCCCTTGTGGGCCGGTTCTCCCTCGCTCGACTTTTAGCACCAGCCTGCTCCAGTTCCTTTCCCTTCCACCACTCTTACTCTTACGGAGGAGCAGAACCACATGCCAGGATCAACACCCTCCGGGAGGCTGCTGCTGTCAGTTAACACCCGCTTCTCTAGGGGCTGAGGTCCACCCTGCTTCCCAAGCCAAGTTGCTCTGGGCAGTGTATATGGGCAGGGTGGAGCGGCAGAGGGCGGGGAGTGGCAGGACCCAGCTTCGGCCTGCCGAGAGATGCCTGCACTCACCCTGACGCCAGTGGAAGAACTTTGCTGAGCCTGAAATGTGCCAAAAGGCCCCAAGGCAATGTCATGGACTGTGTTTGGACTGCAAGGGCAGACCTGGGTTCAAACCCCCCACTTAACTTAAGTGTGTGGCTATCTAGCAGCTGGTTTTTCCGGTCCGCCCATTTTCGTTGCTGGGGCTGCTTGATTCCTTGAATGATGCCTTCCCCCACACGTATGGGGTGTATAGCTACAGACAAACTGGAAAGGGTTCAGAGGAGGCAACAAGGATGATCCAAGGACAAGAAACAAACCGATAAGAAGAGGTTGAAATAACTGGGCATGTTTAGCCTCGAGAAGAGAAGACTGAGGGGACACAGCACTCCGTAAGTACTCGAAAGGTTGCCACAAAAAGGAAGACCAGGCTCTCTTCTCGATCATTTCAGAGTGCAGGACATGGAAGAACAGGCTCAAGTTACAGGTAGCCGGATTCCTGCTTGATATCAAGAAAAACTTCCGGACCATGAGAGCAGTGGGACAATGGAACCCATGACCTAGGGAGGCGGTGGGCTCTCCCACACTGGAGGCATTCAAGATGCAAACTGACCAGTCATCAGAGAGGGATGAGTTAACTGGGAGTCCTGCACTGAGCAGGGGGGTTGGAGCAGGTGGTCCTCTGGTCCCCTTCCAACTCTCCTATTCTCTGATTCTATTCCTATTATAAACCACTTGGGCTGTTGTAATAAGTAGCGTATGCATCATGTTAAACTGACTCTATGAAAGACGGACGGGTGGAAGCCAAATATCTTCCTAACTTCCTTCAGGCAGTCACTCTCTTAGCCTAACCTATCAAGGATTGTTGTGAGAAGGACTGCGGGGAGGGGCTCTGTAGGCCAGAGGCAACGCCTTGGATCAGGACAAGATTATGAGCGTGTAAATCACGCTCGTAATCTTTGGCAACCTAGCACTTTTGCAAAGCTGAGGCCAGAGGTGGGCACTTTTGAGGATGGGTTTCCGATAGAGAAACTCCCATTTCCAAGCTGGGGTGGAGGTGGGGGTCCCCATTCCACCTGGGGAAGCCAGGGGACTGTTTCTGACAGATCAGGACAGAGGCCTCTTCACACACGGCAAGGAACTGCTGATCAGTTCATGCCAAATTACCATTTGGGGCCACCGGAAAGGATGACAGCAAAACAGGTCTGACTAATGAATTCAGTCATCCTTTGCATCATTTAATCGACATGGGCTGGCCCTGGCAACTTCCGGATTCTAAAGTGGCTGAAAACAAGCACGAACAGACTTCTGGGCATACAGTTTTACCCACAAAGTATCTGGAGCCTTCCCAAGTCTCCAGCATAATACAGGGGGTGCAAGAGGCCGCTGTTCTCTATCTTCCGTCCCCCAGTGGTATTTCCCAGATATTCTACGTTGACTAAATGGAAAGAAAGGAGGAGGAAGAAACAAAACTTTCTGGGAATGGGGTTCTGCCAGCTCTGAAAAGTGAAAGCATTTAATACAGATCCCAAAGGGATAAAAGCGCTTAGTCAGTTGTTTAACGCTTCTCAGAGTGCAAGTATTTATACAGCTTACATAATCACTGCTTATTTGTTCTAAGACTATTTCTAAGCCTCTGGAAGTTTAGGGCATCATGGAGCACCATTTCCTGATGCTTGAATGGAAGAATCCACTTTGATCTCCCTTAACTTCTAATGCATTATAGCAGAAAAATAATATTCTGAAAAGAATTGCACTGATACACAGGCAAGAGATATAGAATTGCTTAAAAGGATTGCACTGGGATACCAGCCAATGCGGACAAAATTCGTCTTCTCTCAGTGAGACTGATTGATCCCATCAGCAGAGAGCTGGACCCGTCCGACACCTCGGCCTGAGCCAGCATAGCATTTCTTATGCTCTTATGGAAGTCTGGAGGGTCTGAAGCAAGGAAGAAGGAGCAGAGCTCTCTCTGGACTGGCCTAACACATGCAAGGCACACCCATCAAAGGCTTCCTAGTATACATCACAGATGAACAAAGAGATGTCTTTTACGTATTGCGCAGAGAGAGAAGCCAGGCTGCTAGAACTGGCTGCAGCTCCCCGGTGCATGCAGGTCCCCTTTGGGATTTTCTGGATGTAGCAAGAGGAAATGCAACCGTCTCGTGCTGCCTTCCATTCCTGTCCGGTCCAAAGAGGGAAGGGGCAGGTCCTGCAAATCTCCTTCCTTTGGGCTGGGAAAGTCACACAGCCTGCATCTCAGCTCTCCCCCCTTCCAGGGAACCCCTTGAAATGGCCTGCAGAGAGCAAAGAGCTGCTCCTTTGCAGACTGCTGGCTATGGCAGTGGGGGACAATGGGGTTTGTTGTTCCATAACATCTGGAGGGGTGCAATTGACCACCCCAGTTTACAGTTCACACCAGAGCCTTTCTCCCCACACCAATCACATCGGAAGCCGTCTCAACCTGCCTTCAAGGCCAGCTTTCCCCCTTCTCACAATAACTCCTGTGGGGAGACTGGAGCTCCTGGGTCAGGAGATAGCTGCCTGCATGTTAATTTTATTTACAGACAAAGCTACTTGAGGCTACCCAATGCAATGAGATTAAACCTGCCACAAACCTGCACTGTGACCTAGCCTGATTTAGGAGGAGGTTAAATTGATGGAGGAGGACTTTTATGAACTGCATAGCTACCTGCAACTGCCATTTCCAAGGGCAGCAGTGGAGATGCATTGCGGGGGGGAATAGTTGGGGAAAATATTCACTTTTGTGGCCCCCAGGAGCTGGCTCGCAGCCACGGTGGGATGCCGTGAACTGGGAGATCAACCCTCTGGGCAAGGAGCAAAGTTCCGTGGTAGCCCACGAGCTTTCCAGGAGGGCTTCCGGTTTAATTTGTGCCCAGAAAAGACACATAGTCACTGGAGAAGGAAATGGCAACCCACTCCAGTATCTTTGCCATGAAAACCCCATGGACAGTACCAAAAGGCAAAAAGATATGACGCTGGAAGATGAGCCCCTCAGGTCGGAAGGTGTTCGATATGCTACAGGGGAAGAGCAGAGGGCTAGTACTAGTAGCACCGGAAAGAATGAAGCGACTGGGTCAAAGCCGAAAGGACACTCAGTTGCAGATGTATCTGGTGGTGAAAGGAGAGTTCAATGCTGCAAAGATCTATACTCCATAGGAACCTGGAATGTAAGATCCATGAATCAAGGCAAGCTGGATGTGGTCAAACAAGAGATGACAAGACTGAACATCGACATCTTAGGAATCAGTGAATTAAAATGGACAGGAATGGGTGAATTTAATTCAGATGACCATCAGGTATACTTCTGAGGGATTCTTG